GGACGGGCCTGGGAGCAACCTGGGATAGTGCAAGGTGTCCCTGCCCATGGCAGGGTGTGGAACAAGATGATCTTAATGTCATAGATGGGTTTCATGAAAAATCCTTTCCTTTGGATTTTTTCTCCTTAGAAGCTGAGAGCCTCAGGAACAAAATGTAAACAATGGTTATCTGCTGCTGTGGAATGCAACAGGTGCATCTGGGATTGGTCCATGTTGGTTGTTTCTAATTAATGGCCAATCGCAGTCAGCTGGCTCGGACTCTCTGAGAGTCAGGAGCTTTTGTTATCATTCCATTCTCTGCCTTCCTTACAAGCCTTCTGATGAAATCCTTTCTTCTGTTCTTTTAGTATAGTTTTAATATAAGATATATCATAAAATAATATATTCATTCTGAAATATATATACAAATAAAAATATATATGTAAATATATTAAATATATTTATAATTATAATGATAAATATATTAAATATATAAATAATTATGATAATCATAAATATATAAAAATATATAATAAAAATATATAATACATATAAATATATAAATAAATAATAAATTCCTTCAGAAATATATATAATAAATAATAAATTCCTTCTGAAACATTGAGGCAGATCCTGGTCTCTTCAGTCTTGCTGGGACCCCTCTGAACACCACCACAACTGGCGACCCCGAGTGACGAAAAATTCGCAGAACCTTAAGGTCCCTCCCAGCCCAAATCCCACCATGACTCCACATCACCCCACGTACCCCTGAGGNCCCTGCATGGCCAGAGGGAGCCCAGGCCCATCTGCAGCAGCCCTGGAGCTGCAGAGGAAAACTCCCCCCTTGTGCAGGATCCCTGCTGCAGCAGAGCCACAGCTGGCACTGCAGGAGGGCTGAGCCCCCATGGATGGGGCTGGGACACCGCCCTGACACACAGGGGGCAGGGCATGGTCTGACTCTGGCAGTGTTGATTTGTATTACTGCACTGTTTATTTTATTTTATTTTATTTTATTTTATTTTATTTTATTTTATTTTATTTTATTTTATTTTATTTTGTTTTATTTTAATTTTCTTCCCTAATAAGGAACTGTTATTCCTGCTTCCATATCTTTGCCTGAGAGCCCCTTAATTTCAAAATTACAATAATTCAGAGGGAGGGGATTTACATTTTCCATTTCAGGGGGGGCTCTCTTCCTTAGCAGATACCTGTCTGTTCAAACCAAGACACCAGGTCCCTTTCTTTTGGAGATTCAAGTCAGGGACACTCTCAAAACAAATATCAACCTGAGCCAACTCCTCAGAGCTGATGCTGCTTAGTGCACAGCAGGCACCTGCAAGTGAAGTGATGGAAATAAAACCAGGGGTGCTGAGAAAATTCAGCAGGAAGGAAGTGAGGTGTTCTGTGGGCAGCAGCAGCAGCAGCAGTGTGGGAGGTGACAGGGGCCAGCTGTCCCTGTGGGTGCCCCTTGCAACAGGTGTGTTTGCTGCCATTGATCCAGCAGCCCTGGGATGGGTTGGGATGCTTGGTGTGACCAAGACCAAAATGCCTGGTGGAGATGATGATGATGATTTGGTGATAGTGAGAAGGCTGGGAGGGGTGTCCAGTCCTGGTACCCATCACTGCTGCCCTGGCCAGGATCTCCAGCTTCTTGCTCTGCCATTCCCCTTTTCCTGCCCACCCATTTCCTCTCTGCTCTCCCTCTGGCACCAGCCCTGGCTCAGCTCCCTCCATCCCTCTCATCCCACGTGGGGGCCTGGCCACAAACCTGCTCGCTCTTGTACAGCCACATCTCAGGCAGGCTCAGGGCTGCGAAAACCTTGGACTTGTGGCCCTTGAGCTCCAGGGTTCCTGACTTCTGGCAGTGGGCAGTGTTGGCAGGCCGGGGCCGGGACCCCACCAGGCGCTGCTCCATCACCTTCTTCTGCAGCGTGGAGCACCACTCATTCCTCTGGGCTGGGGGGCAGGCAGGAGGGAGCGGGGCTGAGCCCTTCCCACAGCCCTGGCATGGAGCAGAGCACCCAGAGGGCAGGCAGAGAGGCAGGGGATGTTTTGGGGGTGGGGAGAGAGCTGCCTGTAGGGTGCTCTGCCTGGAGAAGGGAGGCAGGGATGGCTCCTTAGGGCTGGTGGGCCCTGGCCCAGGTTTTCACTCACCCTCGTTCTCAGCACGGAAGACAAAGATCCGATGGCTGGTGATGACCTGGAACTTGTTGTCCTTGGTGGAACGAGCCATTTCAATCACAGACAGTGGGATCACTCCTTTGGGATAGGGCTCCTGGAAAGAGCCCCAGCTGGGGTTACCCCCTTTTCCCTTCCCAAAGGGCACCTCCATGACCTGGCACATCCTCCACACCCCCTGGGTGCTCTGCTGGTGCTACCTCCCAGCACAGCCTGCGGGCACCAGCAGCCAGGGGAGTGCTGGGGATCCAGGAAGGGGTGGATCCTTGGCTGGGACCCTGTTTCCAGCAGGACCTCCCCTTCCCTGCTCCCTGTTGGCAGAGGGACCCTTACTATCCTGGGTTCCCCATGGCTGAGGCTGTGCTGGGAGCCTGCCAGTCATCAGCTGCTCCCCCCTGGTGATGGCAGAGCACTGCTGGCTCCTTCCAGAAGGACAAG